CACTATTGTCTGTGTCCATGGGTTATGCACATATGCATATAAATTCTTAATCTCTCCCCACTCCCCATTTGCTTTTTTTATCCAAATTCTCCTAATATTTTTAATGTATGTTGTCACACTTTAGTGGCACACTCTTTCCAAGTAGAAACTCACAACAAAGAAGAGCAAAGTGTTGTGAATATTTTAGGCCTCAAAGGGAAGGCCATTTCACCCCCATTATTCCATTGAAATTACTCTTCCTGAGGTCATGATTGTACTTTGAAATTCCAAATCCAAAGTATTCTCACTAGCTCTCATCTTGTTTGCCCTCCTCTGCACCATTTGACCCCTTTGACTTTCTTGAATCTTTTTACCCCTTGGTTTCCATGATAGGTACTGATCTCTGCTCTTTAATCTCCTTTGCCAGTCCTGTTATAACTAATATTCATCTCTGATATTTCTCTTAATTTCCTGGCAAGATGCTTTTCCTTCTAGCCTGGGCAGTTATAAGGACAGGGTCATATTTTCTTTTCCTTTAGTATAGTACCTGACATTTAATAAATGTGGATTGTATGAAATAATCAATCTCAAATTCAAATGAAAATGATGACTTTCAAATCACTAAAAGCATCTACCAGCTAGTGTGGTTAACATCTGTTAGGGATGTTGTGGGAGAATTCTTACCTGGGTGGGAAATTGCCTCCTAAATATGTGTTATGTATCATTCAACTCTAAAATATTATTAGTCTAATAGTGTATGAGAAGAGTTAAAAAAATTTCATTTCATTAGCACCTGAATTGCAAACTGAAAGCATATATAGAAATATCTTGATCCATTTAAGCAGTTGGAAATTATTATGAAAGTTAGATGTCCTCAAAATTCATAATATTCTATGATAGTCTGTAATATTTTAAGAGACATACACATTTTTATGATATTTTAATGGGAATATATATACAAGTGTCCTGATTTTAAAAATATTCTGTGACACTTAGAATTTTTATCTATGTATCTATAATATTTTTTAAATATGCTAAACCTCTTTTTATCCTTGGATTCCAGCTTCTTTACGCTCAGAACTAAACCATCAACATGCAGCTGCTATTGATTTGTTACGGCATAATCATCAGCAAGAATTGGCAGCCGCTAAAATGGAATTAGAGAGAAGCATAGACATCAGCAGAAGACAGGTAGAGAAAAACATTCTGCTCCGATTATTCCACAATTTTCTGAAAAGTATTTTATAATAAATAGTATTTTCACTAGTTATTATTTACTATCTATATTAAAGAGCTTTATTTTTAAAGGTAAATAGGTAACTTGACTAATATGTTGGTCAGAAATTTACATTTTATTTTTGACCTTTTAATTGACTATTTTGAATTTTACTCGCACCTTGAGAAAATGAACAACCAAATACAAATAACACAAAGCGTGAAGACAGAGTGCTATAAAATAGTACTGTCCAGTAGAACCTTCATGATGTTCTACATCTCTGTCGTATACTATGGTAGTCACTAGCTATATAGGCCAAACATGTCTAGTGTGACTGAGGACCTGAATTTTCAGTTTTATTTAAATTAAGTTAAACTTGAATTTAAACAGCCATATTGGATAACACAGCTATAGAAGTAGCAGGTCCTGAAGAAGAAAAAGGATAACTTATATTTCCATATCACTCTAGCACAGCTACTGTTTATACTTTTTAAACTCTGGCCAAGTATACTTCCTTTAATAAGTTGTGATTTTGAATGTATGTATATCTAGATGGATGGAATTTTTAGACATAAACATTTACAGTGAAGACAATGATTGGTTTGTTAGACTTACGACTTTTACTTTGTTAGTCTTCAGTCATATTAAATGGTCAGTCCAAATTTTCTCTTCATTACTAGGAAGTTTTAAATGAGCTACCTTTGCCCTAGGCAGTTTGCTCAGTGGTTAGAGCGTCAGCCCTTGGACTGAAGGGTCCTGGGTTTGATTCTGACCAAGGGCACGTACCTCGGTTGCAGGCTTGAGCCTCAGCCCTGGTCTGGGCTGTGCAGTAGGCAACCAATTGATGTGTCTCTCTCATATCAGTATTTCTCTCTCTCTCTCTCTCTCTCTCTCTCTCTCTCTCTCTCTCTTTCTCTCTTTCTCTCTCTTTTCCCTCCCCTCTCTCTCCCTTCCACTCTCTCTGAAGAGCAGTGGAAAAAATATCCTCAGGTGAGGATTAAAAAACAGTAATAATAATAATAAATAAATAAATGAGCTACCTTATAATCATGGACAGAAGTTATATTCTCTTCAAGTAAGCTGACACTGAAATTGACAATGTCTAGGTCTGCAGAACTTGTAGAAAACAGTGACTTTTAAGAAAATTGGAGGAAATTTTATCTTTCAGACAGTATAACTGCTAGACCAGCACTAAGCAGACATAGTCTGTTTTCTAAGCCATGGGTGTGTGTGTGCGCGTGTGTGTATGTATTGGGATGACCTCCATAGATGTGGGTCCTTTTTAGATTGAAAGACAGTGGTACCAGCATTTTTATCACAGACCATGTAATTTGTTGAGTATCTGAGAGCCCTGTGTTCTAATCTCAGTTCTGCCATTGATTATACATCATCCTCGGACATCATCTCTTGTGTCTTAGTTTGCTCATCTGTAAAATGAGGGAGATGTGTTTTTATGGTCTTTTGAGTTCCTTGTAGCTCTGACATTATTGAAGCTGTATCCATATAAACACTTCTTATATATATGGAAAGAGAAAAGGCCTTGAGGTTTTCTCATTTCAGCAGTTTGCTTTTGAAATAATGTCAGATTTGTTACATTTGACATTCCTGTGTGCCATTTTCTTGCCCTCCGATAAACACAGAAAGCAAATATGTAGAAAACTTTGAAGAATTGTTTGTATTTTGCAGAGTAAGGAGCACATGTGCAGAATAACAGATCTCCAGGAGGAATTAAGGCACCGAGAGCATCATATCTCTGACTTGGATACAGAGGTACAGCACCTTCATGAAAATATAAGTGCCCTGACCAAAGAGCTGGAATTTAAAGGGAAAGAAATTCTCAGGATACGAAGTGACTCTAACCAGCAGATGAGGTATGCCATTAATTACATCAGAAGGAATTTGCAGGGTTATCTGAAAGACTATTGGGATGGTATTTAGCAATACATGCCTATTTTTATGAATAGACTGTCTTCTAGTAAGATACCAAAGACCACTTTTGACTCTGTTGACTGTTACAATCTAGAGTGTAGATGAAATGTTATATTTTGAATGATGTATATGCATTCATCCACTTTGGAAATTGTACAAAATTAAAACCTTTTAAAAATGTTATTTTAAAAAGCATTAAAGGAGACAACTTTAACAAGCTAGAAGATTAAAGTAAGTAACTTACTTTAGGCTGTTTCCATTGATTTTCTATATATTATACCAAAAACCATTTCAAATCTGGTAGAATATAGAAAGTTTTGAAACATGACTTCAGAATAACATTTTCTTAACTAAAAATAAACAGGTTGCATGAACAAGATTTAAACAAGAGGCTTGAGAAAGAGCTGGATGTCTTGACAGCAGACCACCTCAGAGAGAAAAATGTCATGCGGGCAGATTTTAATAAGACTAACGAGCTACTCAAGGAAATAAATGCAGCTTTGCAAGTGTCGTAAGTCACATTATATTAAAGAAAATTCATATGGGGACAATAAACTGAGGAGCACTGTGTCTAACCTCAAATTAGCTACTCTTTTGAGCTAATTAAATGATACTTAAAAAAATAAAACAAGTGCACATTACAGATGGTAATTGTAGTATGATATTTTTTAATTAGCATAAGTCAGTTGAGTGATTATGTTTATTAGCTGCTACTGCTGCAATTCTACTGGGACAAATACTTGTCTAAAGACTGTCCCTCAGGATCATGCCATGGTGAAAACTCAAAACATGTCCCCTATGTAACGTTAGGTAAAAAGAGCACATTGTGACCAGTAGGTCACACTAATAATACATATTGTACAAAAATATCAAAAGGTCTTAAACAAATACAAAGTTTTAATTATAGTGGTTCCCTCTGGGAGTGAGTTAGGAGGTATTGGGGGTAGGGAAGAGCAAAGACTTCCTTTTTATTTTATATACTCTACTTAGATATTGTTTGAATTTCTATAACAAGCATTTGTTTTATGATTTTTTAAATCAAAAGTTAAAACATCACAAATAAAGTTACTACTCATACATAGTAGCTCTAATGTTAAAACCCAATTTTCTAATTATTGCTTAATGTTTTAAAAATATTTAATGGCTTCTCTCTTTTCTAGACACTAATTTCTAAACTCCTCTAGTCAGTGCAGCTAGCATTCACTTCATCTCTGTGGTCCAAACCCTGGTGCAACTTCAGTTATCTCAGAATTAATCTACCCTGAGCTGCTGTAGATGGTTTATCCACCTTCCATCTCTCCTCTTCCAATCCATTAAAAAAGTTACAAAAAAGATACATAATTCTTCCCACATACTTCAGTAAAGTCAAAATAGTGACTAATCCCATTACCCTCAGTGTCAAAGTCAAACTTAAACTCATAGCTTCAGTATGCCTCACTGAATGCTCAGCCACACAGGCCTTCTTGGTTTCCTTCTGAGATTCTCCTGTGCTGTCCTCTACAATCTAGAATAGCCTCCTATGTCGTTACTACCTAGATACCTTTGCCCAATCTAAAAATCATCTCCTCACATATCACCGGTTTAACCAAGTAAGCCTCCCACTAAATACTGTTATATATGTAGCACATATACTCACATTCACTTAAACTGAAACAATATGAATATAGGGGCTCTGAGGCGAGCTTCTCTAATGGGTATATGCAGAATTTTCATATAGTAGGCACTCAGTGACTGTTTCATGAATGAATTTTTTGAGGATTTCCTACAATACTTACTACTTCATAAAGTTACTTTTGAAATAATGAGACATAAGGTCATTTCCCCAGGCACAGTGATTTTTGTTGCTTGATACCTGCCTTGTTCATCAGGCTGAGGCTGAAATCCTGGCATCCCCCACTATATATTCTAAAAAAGCATGCTTACAAAAAGAATAACCTCTGTCCTGTGTCTTGTCTCCTTAGGAATGTTAATGTACAAAGAGTAAAGGTTATGTCTTTATTTTCACTTTATCCTGTTTTATTTGGTTTTGCACATTATGGATTTTTAGTAATAGCTTAGTCTTTCTATTATGATCATTTCAGTAAGTGAAGAATTAGCATTACTCATAAGTCAAATATTTTTTCACTTTTCTAGAAGTACCATTTGTTTTATACTTCAACTAGGTTTATGCTAACCAATCATATTTCCTTTCTTACCTGAAGCCTGCTGCCATCATGATTGCCTCTAGCTTTAGGTGTTCACTCTTTTAGTTAAAGACAAACAAACAAACAAATGTATTTTAGATCAGCCCTGTCCCGATTCTTCTTTGATGATGAAAATTTCCTGTATCTGCTCTATGTAGTACAGTAGCTACAGTGCTGTTGAGCACTTGAACTGTGCCTAGCAAGGCCACGGAACGGAATTTTTCATTTCAGTTAATTTTACTTATTTTTAAGTGTAAATGCCAACACGTGGGCTATAGTTTTAGACTACTGGATATTTCTGACCCATATTCTTAAAGGCAGCTGCTTGGTTCTGCTGAATGGTTTGCATTCAGACACAGGCAGTGAACAGGAAGCGTCCGTTCCAGCTTCAGGAGCTGGGCACAGCAGCGCTGCACTGTTCCCAGCCTGTTGCAGAGGCCTGAGGGCACACTGTTGATGTTCCTAACTGCCTGCATGCTGGCTTTCAAGCTCCGAAAGAACTGGAAGTGGGTGGTAGTAGAGGAGGAACACAGGTCAGCCTCCCAGGATGAAGGGGCCTCTGGAGCGGACTGAAGCTGCTTCTGTTCCTGCCCGAACCCTGTTGGACGCCAGGGAAGAGGGGCCAAAAAATTTAAAGGATGAAAAGTGCCGTCTAAACATTGTAGAGATGGTGATGAGAGTCTGTATCTCTCATGGAATGAGTATTAGAAATCCTCTTCTCTAGAGCTAGGTATTAAAGTCGCCTTAGATTTTCAGACATTCTATAGAAATGCTTTTATTTTCTTGAACGATACAGCATCTTAGTAAAAAACCTCTATCTAATAAAAAAAAATCATGGTTTTAGTTTGTTCTAGAAACAAATGAGGATGGGCTGTTTCAAATAACTCTGTTTAAGCTAAATGTCAACATACACTAGAATGGCAGATCTTTATTATGCAGAAAAGATACTGGAAGACTGTTGATTGCTTAGGTCGCTTTACATCAGCTTCTTACCGTACTGAAGCAAAAGATACTTTCTTCTTGGAGGCAACACTTGGTTTCTGTACCGGGACTTCAGGTAGGTAGCCGTCCCCACTGAAGAGCAGCATCCAACTCCACAGTTACGTATTCTTAAGAGCTGCTCCCGCTCTTTTATCTGTGACACCCGTTGCTTTTTGTTGTTGTCATCTGATTTTTAAATTACGTTCAGGTTATTTCCATAAACTTTGTGAGGTAAGGATGTGATGATAGTTCTGTTGTCACAGGTCCACAACTTATGGGGAGAAACATGGTTGCCATTACACTGCTCCAATTACTGCTTTCTCTTCACGCCGTAGAGAAGGAAGGTGTAACAGTTCTTTTGTCTTTATTCAGTTGAAATTCTAAAATGTATGTGTGCCTAGTGATACTGTTGTTTGGCTCCAAACTCTCAATTTACTGGTATTTTTGAAAATTCTTTATTTTTAAAAGCATCATGGGAGGACTATCAACTTAGAAACTTTTTAAAGTACAGTTTTATACAGCTTTTTAGGCATATTTTAGATTGGTTTTGTCCATATATAGGTCATAGACATTGACCTATATATTCTCAGAGCCAAAAAAAATCAGGGCATGCATGCCTGGGGAGACTCCAACAGTGACTTTAATTAGTAATTTTGTATGTTCTACTTCTGTTCTCTCTTTGTATTACTTTTAAAGGGAATCTGTATTTCGAGTAAAAATGCTATATGTACTTGTGTGATTACCTCAAGACAGTGTTTCCCAGGCTATAATCACTCCTATGCAGCCTTTGGGAATTTGGTCATTTCTGGCTACTTAGGATATTATTTTCTTAATATTTTTAATTGACTCATTTTAACTTAAAAATTTAACAGAAAACTCAATTATCTCTATAATAAAACCATTATCACTACCAAAAAATTATATCTGTTATTCTAAATAGAGTTGAACTATAGTTAAATAAATGTAAGTTCTGTGAAAATAAAACGTTACTAGATTCTATCTAGCACTGATTTCAACGGTCAGCCTGAGTATTGTGAAACAGGGTAAGAAGCACATATTATGAAGGCTATTTAAGATATATGGACCTACACACACTTTCTCCTTCTTGTGATCAGGAAGATTAAGAGAACAAATTAAAAATCATCTTCTGTACCTCCAGTCGTTTACACTTAGACTTTGGGAAGCAGTGCTAGCTCAGAATGCCGCATGAGGCAACTGAAGAAAGGTAAAATGTTGGCAAGTGTTGGCTTGAAGTGGATATTGAAATAGTACTATGTGTTCTTCCTATTAGAATTTCAAAGGACTAATAATTCTGGAAATATATTTGCAAGTTAAATCATATTACTTGTTTTCTCCTTTAATGCTTTCCCATTTGTGTTTATGTGGATTCTGTTTCTCCAATTTAATGTTATTTTTTCCCTTTAATTTCTCCAGGTACTTTTAAATTTTTTTGGTGATGTAAAGGTATTTTGTGAAGAAGAATAACTGATAATTTTGTAGGTAAAGAATGTTTAAGCTAAATGTAAACATATGTTAGAATTTCAGTATAGAGCAGACCTTTATTACGCAAAAAGTGGCTCAGGGACTGTAACTCGTTTTAGGCTCACTTTATCTAACCTTACTGTTCTAGATCAGCGATTTTCTTTTTTTAAATATGTCTTTATTGATTTCAGAGAGAGGAAGGGAAAGGGAGAGAGAGAGAGAGAGAGAAACATCAATGATGAGAGTCACTGATTGGCTGCCTCGACTGGGGATTGAGCCCACAACCTGGACATGTGCCGTGGCCGGGAATTGAACCACAGTGCTCGACAGCTGAGCCACGCCGTCCTCACTAGATCAGCAATTTTCAACCTGTGTGTGGCAAGAATGTTTTAAACCTGCAATACCTGTTTAGTCAGGTGCACTGATCTCTTTCCCCTTAGATTTCAAATAAAAAAATGACAACAGCCAACACAATAGCCATCCTGCGTGAATGAATCAAAATTATACCTAATTTTTTTGGCAGATCAGCAAAAATATATTATTTGGTAAGAATTTCAGTAATTAGTTTATGTGTGCCATGAGATGAAAAAGGTTGGAAATCGCTGTATTAGAACAAAAGATAGATATAAACTTGGGGGGGGGTTGACGATCATCAGCAACCACATATTCTTGTTCAGCTACAAGAAGTAGTTCAAAAATCTTGTACCTTGCTTTTAATGATAAAGAAAGTACTCCAGTGACATCTTGTGGCTACTCTAGTGTTAAACCCAAATGCCTTTTTCCTTGACTATGTCACTGTTTCTCAAGCTTCTTAAAACCTTTGCCCGTAAAATGAAGTTTTGCTCATAAAATGCCATATTGTGATAAAAAGCAAGGTCATTTTTTGTTAGCTCAGTGAATCACATTTTCCACTCATTCTGCATTGTCACAAAAGAACAAAAGTAGAGATAGTGAAGCCTCACCCTGAGCTGACAAAGTCCCAGCTGATGAAGACAGTCACTTCCTAACCCCACTATTCGTCACCTTCCGCCCTCCCCACACCAAGGTTAGGACTCTAGCCTCGGGACTGGGTTGGGAGCCAAACGTATTATCTCCACATCTCTATCCTGGGCTGAGTTAGAAGGAGTTTACTAAAGTTACTAACATACAGGGATTCTGGCACCCCTCTGGAGTCTGGATGGGCATGGGCACTGATTCCTCGAAGGGTGACCTTGTTGGGCGAATAAAGTTTTCCATGAATCTTCATTAACTATACTTTTATTGAGCTTAAATGTTATCCTTTTTATTCTAAAAATAATAATGGTTTTTAATTGTTCTAATTATTTAAATTTTCTAAAATTGAAAATGCTTCTAAACTAAACCAGCAGGTTCCTTTTGTTTCTTTTTGATTCTACCCTGCTCTGTATTTTAGACTCTTCAGGGCCCATGTCTCCATTGCTCATAAAACGCCTCTATTCTAGAGTCTTCAGTGGCCTTTAGACCAATTACCTTCTATTTCATTCAAGGCACACTAGGCCTAGAAGGAAATATAATTCTTCTCTTACCTGACCAACTTATTTTAGAGTATATATAGATTATCTGGTAATATAGAATTTTTAAATTGAACTTCTTATAAACCAGGAAAGAATGATGTCATGTGTGTGTCCTTTGTTTCCCTTTCCTCTGTATTTTTTCTTGTCCCTTTTGTATATGTTACCAAGTCTAATGTCATAACAATATTGTATCTGTGGTGAGTTCTAATTGTAAGCCTACATGTCCAGCTAGTTTAGTATCATTCAGCATATCATTTCTTTCACAGAGCTTATCTCACCTCAATCCCATGTACTCTTGGAATGGCATGAGTGAGTTATTCAAAAAAGTAAACTGCAAAGCCTTTAATATCATCTACTCCCGGAGAGTCTTTAATAACACTGTAGCTCTTAAGGCAATCTTGTCATTATCCTCAAAAGTTTTAAGGAAAAAGTTCAGTTTTAAGTATTTGTGTGTATTCAACTGGACTAATATGAAAAATGTAGGTTTTACAAAAGAATGTGTCTGAGTCATCTTAATGAGCTAAAGATTTTCTTATTTTTAGACTAGAAGAAATGGAAGAAAAATATCTAATGAGAGAATCAAAACCTGAAGATGTACAGATGATTACAGAATTAAAAGCCATGCTTACAGAAAGAGACCATGTCATAAAGAAACTAATTGTAAGATATTTTGTTTTTGGTGTAACCATGTAGTAAATCAAGAGACTGTTGATTGGGAAGACAGGGGGAAGCATTTTTAAGTAATGCTAAACAAAAACTGAAAGTATAAAATATGCGCACTTTGATTGAAAGTTTATTAAAATGTTATGAACAAGGGAAATAAATTCTAAGTAATTTTAAAATTTAAATTTGGTATTAGGATAAGGAGATTGTGCCTCTTTTTTCAATATTTTAGTACATATCAAGTGTTTAATAATATATCATTGTCAATGTACAGTTAATATACCCTTGAGGTGTCTGTATTGTACATGCAGAATTAGAATTGGATAGTAAAGAACAGTCAACACATTCATGCATTGGTCTGCATTGTAGGTTAGTCATGTTAATTTCCTAAAGTGTGTGTCCCAGGAGGCACCCCATGGAAGAAAGGTGCCATGATGTAGCCTGAGCCACAGGCTCTCTTGAAGAGTCTCAGTCCGCGTTGAGGTGTTAGGAGTTCTGAGAAATTCATCAGGGAAGAAAATACAGACTTAACAATTACACTGCTTCCATTAAAGCCACTAATCCTTAAGAATAAAAAGTACGCATGTTTTAAACTTCATAAGACATTGCAGAGTCTTCTAAATTGTATGTTCTGATCAATAATTAAGATACTGCTTTTTACTGCCTATAACAAATGAAAAATCTTTCAGAGTAAAACTAGAAATAGAATACTAACCATTCCTATTTGCTCATCAATCCCTTCAACTAATAACTTTGGACATTAGCATGCAAAGAGAGCCTAAAAGCATTTATTTCTGAAGGCCTTTTACCTTAACATATCCCTTTTAGCATTCTAGACCTCGACAGCAAGTCTGTTGTCTGGGTCTAGACGTTCCTGCCACAAGCAGCAGGTAGAACTGGGGTTCGTAGATGAAGCGGACATCGGAAAGATGGAGCATGTGCTGTGCTGCTTCAGCCCACTAACCACCCCCTTCTCCCAGCATTGAGAGCAGGAGCACAGGCCTCACAGATTGTTGTCTGATAGCAGTAGATTCATGGAAAATTAGCTTACATTCCATACATGAAATTAGCAAGTGTACTACGTGTATTTCATCTATGGTCCATAGAAATAGCTATTGATTTTCTAGTTCTTACTGAGCAGGTGTAACAGATAAAATTGTATTTTTTCCTCACAACAGAATAGGTATTAGACCTCAGAGTAAAGTAACTTTACAAAGCAACACAGTTGGTGACAGAGCCAGGCATCAATCTAGCCAAGGGTTGTTCCACACTCTTTCTACTGCACCCCAATTCTGTGGACTGGGAGGCACATGGGCTGAAATTAGCGATGGAACCGCTAGTGGTAACGGAGAGGGAGATGAAGAATCTAGTTCTGCTAGAGCACAACCCTGCCTTTCACACACTGTTCCATTTCCTATGTTTACTTCCTCCCGTCTGGTGGCTCAGTTAGCACAGGTTGTTGGGGAAGGCGAAGGCGAAGTGTTTGTCTCTCTGTGGGCCGTTCACTTTTTCTCTGTTCTCCGGTTACCACCGCTGTCATGCATTGATGTCTCAGAGAGCAGCTTGGACAAGATCACATACCTTTCCAGTACTCAAGAATAACAGTATATCCTAGTGTCATCTTCATATGTGGAAACAGCTCAACCATGCACACAGCTCCACAAATGCAGGTTAAGCCGGTTCAAATTGCACTGTCAGCCCTTCACAACAGAGATGGAGCAAATAAAACATTTGGACCCAGTCTTAAGGAAAAAGGTATTAAAGGATAGAGAAGAGTCCCGGAGCATAGGGTTTAAAAGATGTTGAAAACTTACCTACCAGCAGTCTTTAAGACACTGGCAATCGGGTTGAGAAATCTTTGAGCAAGTTATATAAATCTTCATTCAGGTTTTTATTACATTTTGAATGAAATGGCATTTATACAATTAAGTTGTTCAATATTCAACAGAAATTGTTTAAGAGATGTTTGTAATTCTTTTGCTTAGGAGGATAATAAATTTTATCAGCTGGAATTAATCAATCGAGAAACTAACTTCAACAAAGTGTTTAATTCAAGTCCTACTGTTGGTGTTATTAATCCATTGATTAAGGTACGTGCTATACACACAGTGAAATAGGGATATGGTTTAAAACTTGATGACATTTTTATAAAATATTTAGAGCAGCATGGGCTGAAGCTTCCAAAAGATGTTATCCTAAATTTAATAATCTAGGACTAAAATCTATGAAATCTTTATGTATTAATTTTCAGAATGAGACTCCTATAATCATTTATTTGTTGATAATACTCCTTAAAATAACATCTTATTAATATTATAAAACTTTGGTGCTATCATTTTGTTTTTCATATCTCTAAAGAAAACTAACTTCTAAGTCTCCTCAAGATAACTTTTCGTCATTTCCTTAGTGTTCACCAGCCTCTGGGGTGGGGAGGTCCTGAAAGACACTCCAGCCTGCATACCCAACAGCCCTCCCTAAGGCCTGCCGTCTCAACAGACACTGGGTTGGACCAGCTGTCAGAGAAAGGCTTTACCTTTCTCAGTCTTATGACCTTTCCTTAACAATTAAAATTGAACATGACCTATTCTGATACTTGATTACTCCTTTAGGATAGAAGAGCCTTATAGATAAATGACATGGACATGGCTAAGTCTTGTACATCTCTGTACCCCAGCTTCCTATGGCTCCCACCATAGTGCTTTGGGTACAGTGGTGTTCAATAAATATCTGACCAGTTGCAAAATTGCATCACATTTCCTATAAGGTACCAAAATTATTCTAGTGATGAAAGCAAGTAATAAGGAATAAATAATTAATGTATATTGGCTTCATAAGATTACATATATTTTAGCAGAATTCAGTAGAAATAAAAGTGCTAGTGCTAAAGATATTCTTTAATTCAGATTTTATTAATTTGTACATCATGCCTAATTTCTATTAGGCCATTAGTCAGGAATTTTTGCCTTCAAAGGCCATAAAATGTCTGTGTTAAGAACATGGAATATGTCTTCTCACAAATTAAAGTGCTCCAAACTTAGATGTTTTATAAAATAGAATGACTGAAGTGGAGAGGCCTATAGCTGTATTTCTAGAGCCTAAAATATTGCCTGGCACATAGAATGCTCTCAATAAATAATTGGTGAATGAATAATAAATGTAGTTAGTTTTAGTTTTAAGTTAATAATAAGCTTTTAATTATAAAGCAAGATTATGAAACTTGTTAATACAAGATATACTAGAAATATTTTCCTTTTATTATTTATTTTATTGGAATTAGATTTTTAGCTACAAAACCATTACTATATAACTTTACCAATGATACCTTTGATTTCTTAAAATAGAAACCTTAAGGTGGTTTCATTATGCCCTCTAGTGACTTGAACAAGAAAATGCAAAAGATACATCTGAGAACTTTCAAAACTATTTTGACTCCTAAGAGTGATTTCAATTTTCACAAATAGTTCTGAAGAAAATATTATTCTTACTTTCTTTTTTCAGTTATGCTAAAACAGGCTCCTATCAGAGACTCTATGGTCATAGACTATGATAGAGAGGACAGTGTCTAGATAGTAAGATTATTACTTTGTAAGTAAAGGAAAAGGGCCTTCTTATCTATTGTATTTTTTTTCCCAACCTCTGCGGTAATTTTCCAAAAGTTATTTCATAAATTTAGCATACATTTAATTAGTAAAATATGGGAATATGCAAAATATTTTACAACATTCCCATATTTTGATTCTAGAGGTGTGAATAAAGTTAATAATTTACAAGATAATAAATTTTGATAATCTGTGATTATATTCCCCTTTTTAAAGAACAATTAAAAATAAAAAATTGATTTGTTTTATAATCTTCAAATTTTTTTTAAAAGACTGAGAGCCAATTAATGATACTACCAATTAATTGGGAACTGAAGACTTAACTATGCAGATTTAGTTTTCTCTCTTCAGAAAGATGGTGCAGTAAATTTAAGACCAAATTATTTTTCTAAGTTAACTTTAGGTCTTAAGTAGAAATGTGAGATTTACTTCAAACTACATTGCCAAGCATTTCTCATTACTTTTTTTTCCAGGCAAGGACTGCCTCCCTTTGACAGACGGCTAAAGTTCACAGGGCTCTCTCTTATATTTATGTTTAACTTGACACCTTCTCCTAACTTTAGCCTAAATCCTTGTGGTATCTGAAAGACCTCCTCTCTTCCCCTCTGTCTTCCCTTTCCTCCCAGTATTCTTATCGCCTGGCAATTTCCACCTCCTCCGCCTCTCCTCAGGAACCGTTCCTAAAGGTTTCCTCCTCCTCCTGTCTGTCCTAGCAGCATGTCTGTCTGTGAGGATTCCATGTAGATAAAAAACACCTCCAAGGACCCCCAGACCACACTTTGGGTAACACTGGTTCAATTTAGCATCCCAACTTAACAGAAAGCTTCCAAAGCTTCCCCATCCCAAATTTATATCTTCTACGATTCCTATTTTCTCATTTGTCCTTATGCAGGGACTGTCCTCACGTGTGTTATTTTTAATGCAGCAAAAGAAGAAGAATGATAAATCACCAACAAACAGGTTTGTGAGTGTTCCTAATCTAAGTGCTCTGGAATCTGGTGGAGTGGGCAATGGACATCCTAACCGCCTGGATCCCATTCCTAATTTTCCAATCCACGACATTGAGTTCAACAGCAGCAAGCCACTTCCACAGCCAGTGCCACCCAAAGAGCCCAAGACATTTTTGAGGTGAGCCCCGTCTCACCAGTGATTTTTTTTCTCTTTACTTTTTTAACTTGAGAAATTTATCTTCTTACATTGTAGAAATCTACTACTTTAAGAATAGCCTAGGAAAATTCTGTGAAATATTTTCAAAATATATTTATCACCTCTCTAGAGAACTGTTTTTTTTTACTTTTAAAAAGACTTTTTCCAGCCCAGCTGGCATGGCTCAGCCATTGAGCATCAACCTATGATCCAGGAGATCTCGGTTCAATTCCCGGTCAGGGCACATGTCCAGGTTGGGAGCTTGATCCCCAGTAGGGGGCGTGCCGGAGGCAGCTGATCAATGACTCTCTCATTGATGTTTCTCTCTCCCCCCCCACCTTCCTCTCTCTGAAATCAATAAAGATATGTTTAAAAAAAGAAAAAAAGATTTTTTCCAATTTGTTAGGCAATTTTCTAAATGCTTAAAGAGGTGCTAATGTAATTCACATGCTTGGAATTTTAATATTTATGGACTCTTGCTTCACTTTTAGTATTGTCACCAATTTTTCATTAATCATCCTTATTACAGAACTTAAAAATTTGTTTTAATTTAGTGGCTTTTGTTTCTTATATGTTTATTTTTTCCCTTTCTTGTTTACCAGGCTTACTTATAAATATATATGCCTATTGCCAAAGTAAAAAATACGTAAGCTCTGGGAACTTAATATATGTAAGCAAAAAATAAATTTAGAAAAAAGTTTTTAAAATTGACATCCCAATTTTAAGTTATCTCAGAATTGTTGATTAAATGCATTAACAAATAAAATTTAAACAAAATCCAGTTGTCTATCCATTAAAGATTAAAGTCAGAAAGTAGTCATTTTGTGCTTAACTTACTATTACTTATTTTGTGCTGCTTTAAATTTATTTACTTTTTAACTTATTTTTACTAATTCTTAGCAGTGTCACTAGTAATAGTCTTACAGGTAGACTTTTTCTAGGTTAAGTGATTAATGACATAGTTAATAACTAATTATTTTAAATAGAAAAAAAATCACAAGAATAAAAAATAGCCAAGTACACCTTTGATTGTGTCTCCTGCTAAATATTTTGTGTTGCTTATTTCCCCCCGTGCATGGGTGTGTTCAGGTATCAGTAAGATGCATGTGCATGAGCTCAAGGAACATGACTACTGGAGTTGCCATTACACATTGTTGCGTGCCTTGTAATTTCCCCCAAAGACGGTAGGGATGCTTTCATTTTCTCAACTAGCCCAAAGAATCTTTAGTTTAACTTAAGTATAAATTATATAACTTTGGAAATGGAGGGGAAATTGGATTTTTAATGCACTCCTCTCCCCTAGAGTACTTGCTTATGGAATTATGAAATGAAAGTTTAATATAAATATACTATAGTAAAATACCATACTGTGGTTTAATTAATGTAGTTACATTTAAGGACACATCTGTATGAATCAAGTGCTGTGTCAGATTCTGAAATTAACTAAAGAAAAGGTACTGAAAGAGGAATGTTATCTTGTTCTCTCTTATTCCCCCATGCCTGAATTTTTTTTATTTTTTATTCAAAGGTGACATTATTTTCCTCAACGGTTTGATTTTGCTTTTTGTAATTGTTGTGATGTGGCTCCTCCTGAACTGACTTCATCCGAGCTGCTGCTGCACTCTCATGGCCTCATGGAGTGGAGAGCTGAATCTAGAGTAGAGTAGCAGCAAATCTTTAACGCGCATCTTCTAACACAGGGAACCACTTGGTCATCCACGCTGATGTTTTATGTGCTTTACCCTTCATTTTGCAAAAGAGCTTAATGCTGGGTTACATGTCTCTCTTTTTATGAATTCAGTCCTCCTCAGAGTGAAGCTTCCCCGGCGGCTTCTCCAGATCCCCAGCGCCAGGAGTGGTTTGCCCGGTACTTCACATTCTGAAAGAATTGGGTTGGCACAGCTCTGAGTGGACTGTTACTAAGAGCATGACCTTGCATAATGAAGAACAGGCCTTCCTATGTCAAACACTGTGAACGAGAAAGTATTTGTCTCTCCGATCTGAAAATGCACTGTATTACCTGTGATATTGGAATCATTCTTATGCGGTACTATGTTATGTGTGTAATTATAATAGTTATTTTTAATTGAGATGGAAGAGTCTTTAACCTTTGTAATTACTGCATAATAAATTTTGTTAGAACAAACAATAATGCTTTTCATTTTATGCTTTTCATTTTTTTCAAGTAAGTTTAATTTTTTAAATACATTTTGATTCCAGGTAAGACTTGCCAAAAAGTTTTACTGCATAATTATTATAAAATACTAAATTATTTGGTTTCAGTAATCATAACAAAATCAGGATAGGCAAGTATGTTATCTTACTTTGTTCAATTACTATGTATAGGTATAACTAAACTGTATTCTCTAAACTTACAAGGCTAGAATGAAAAATTTATGGAAATAGTGAATACTGCTGACTTATTTAGAGCGTTACAAGCTCAGGTTGTTATTTGTGCTTCTGATGCCTGGCTATAAATCAGAGGTTCCCATGAGTCCCTCCTTGGGTTCAGTTAATTTGCTAAAGCAAGTCACAGAACTCAGGATACCCATTTACTCACTAGATTACAGGTTTATTACAAAGGATATTAAAGGATACAAACAGCCAGATGAAAACAGATAGGGTGAGGGTCCCCCCTCGTGGACTTTAGGCCCTAGCTCAGTGAAATGTGAAAGTTTCTTGTTCCCAGCCTGCAGTTCTCCAAATGCAGTCCTTTTGGTTTTCTATGTAGGCTTTATTACATAGGCATGATTGATTAAATTAATTGGCCACTGGTGATGGAACTCACTCTCCTCACCAGAGGCCAAGGGGTTCCAACCTGCTAATCACATGGTTGGTTCCCCTGGCAACTAGCCCCCATAATTAGGTGGGGTCCAAAAATCACCTCATTAATATAACAAAAGACACCTTTATGGCTCTCATCACTTAGGAAATTCCAATCCTTCTTAACCTCTTCCAAAACACTGAACAAGAGGGAATAATTCCTAACGCATTCCCAAATTGGGAATTAAGAAGTAAAGTTGTCACTATTTGCAGATGACATGATACTGTATATTGAAAACCCTAAAGATTCCACAAAAGAACTATTAGAAACAATAAAAAATACAGTAAAGTTGCAGGATACAAAATCAATATACAAAAATATGTTGCATTCCTATATACTCACAATAAAATATCAGAAAGAGAAATGAAGGGAACAATCCTATTTACAACTGCAACAAAAAGAATAAAGTACCTAGAAATAAACTTAAAAGAGGTGACGAACCTATACACTGAAAACTATAAGACATTGTTGAAAGAAACTGAAGAAGACATAAAGAAATGGAAAAATATTCCATGTAAGAATAAAAAAATCAAAGGGTAAAGTTTTTAAAAATTAAAGTCATGTCAAAGCAGTACTATTTCCAGCATTTATTGACAATGTGTCGAGGACTGTTTTAGAATTAGTTATATGGGGGGCGGAGTCCCTGCTTTGTGGAGCTTATATTCTTGTGGGAGGAGAGATGAGCATTCCAGGCAGAAGTAACAGCCAATGCAAGGTGCTAAGGCAGAAGAGAACCAGGAATGGCTTAGGATCAGCATTGCTGCTATAATGGAGTGAGCACAGGAGAGTAGTAGGATATACAATGAAAAAAGATATTTAAAGACTAAAATAAAGTCATAAAAACAAACATTTTAGTGATATGACAAAAATTCAATTCAACAAACATTACTCAGCCTCTTCAGGTGGAAAACACTGTTTTAGGAGCTTCAAAACCAGCCAAATTTCCTGCTTGCATTTTACCAGAATGTAAATTATGAAATAAAATGGAATAAAATAATAGACAATAGGACAAAAACAGAAATTAAGAATTATTGTAGTACCATAAAATAATTTTAAACTACACAAACATTTATGTAAATAAAACAATAAGTGATTCAAAACGACATAATTATCAATGTGAAAGATTAAGTGGTAGAGGAACATGTTAAAAGTAAAAGAACGGAGATAAATAGACCATGCTAACAATAAAAGAGCAGAGGTAGCTATATTAATTTCAGACAAAGCAGACTTCAAAGCAAGGGAAGTTATCAGGGATAGAGAGGGGTATTACATAATGATAAAGGGGTCGACATGCCAGGAAGATATAACAATCTTTAATATGTATGGGCCTCAAAATATGTGCGGCAAAACTGATAGACTGCAAGGAGAAACAGATGTATCCACTATTATAGTCAAAGACTTAAACACCCCTCTATAGAAATGGACAGGCCCAGCAAGCAGAAAACCAGTAAGGCCATAGCTGAACTCAACACCACCATCAATCACCTGGATACAACGGACATCTATAGACCACTTCATCCAACAACATCAGATTACATTCTTCTCAAATTCACATGGAACATTCAAAATATACCACATTCTGGGCCATAAAACACACCTTAAATTTTTTAAAAATAGAAATCATACAGTGTCAGCTCTAAGACCACAATGGAAGTAAACTAGAAATTAATAAAAAGCTGAAAAAAAATCACAAAATACTTGGAGATTAAGCAACACACTTTTAAATACCATATGGGGCAAAGAAGAAATCTTAAAATTTTTAAATATTTTGAACTGAAAATGAAAACAATTTATTAAAATTGGTGAGATGCAGCAAAGGTAGTACACAGGGAAATTTAGAGCATCGAGTGCATATATTAAAAAAGAAGAAAGATCTAAAATCAATTATCTAAACTTCTACCTTAGGTAACTAGAAAAAGAAGAGCAAATTAAATCCAAAGTAAGCAAAAGGAAGGAAATATTAAGAAAAAGCAGAAATCAATGAAACAGAAAAGAGGAAATCAATAAACTCAACAAAACCAAAAGCCAGTTCTTTGAAAAGATCAATAATATTGATAAGCCTCTAGCCAAGCTAAGAAAAAAAGAGAGAAGACACAAATTACTAATATCAGAAATAAAAGAAGGAATATCACTACAGGTCACAAGGACATTAAAAGGATAATAAATGTTATAAACTCTACACCCACAAATTTGATAATGAAGATAAAATGGACCAGTTCCTTGAAAGACAATCTGCTGAAACACACAAGAAAAAATAGTCTAACCAGGCCTATATCTATTAAAGAAATTGAATCAATAATAATCTTCCAAACCAGAAAGCATCAGGCCCATGGGTTTACTTGAATGCCACTAAACATTTAAGGACAAAATTACACCAATTTTCTAAAATCTCTTTCAGAGCACAGAAAGAGGGACTACTTCCAAACGCATTCTTTTAGGCCAGCATTACCCCTCATACCAAAATCTGACAAAGACATTACAAGAAAAGAGAACAGTTATCTGTCATGAATAAAGATGCAAAATCCTCAACAAAATATTAACAAATTGAATCCAATGATATTAAAAGAATTTGGCACCACACCAAGTGAGATTTATCCAAGGTATGTAAGGCTGGTTCAACATTTGAAAATAAATTAATGTAATCTATCACATCAAGGGGCTAATGAAGGAAAATCACAGGATCATATCAAGAGATGCAGAAAAAGCACTTGACAAAATCATAGGGGGTTGGGGGAGGTATAAGAGGGTATGGGGGGATAATGGTGATGAAAGGAGACGACTTGGGGTGGTGAACACAATACAATATACAGAGGATGTATTATAGAATTGTATATCTGAAATCTATATAATTTTATTAACCAATATCATCCCAATAAAAAATAAACATTCATGGTAAAAACTCTGAGAAAAGTAAAAATAGAGAACTTCCTCAACTTGATAATGCACATCTACAGAAAAACCAACAGCTAACATATTTAGTGGTGAGAAACTCGAAGTTTTCCCACTAAAATCAGGAACAAGGCAAGTTTGTCCCCCCTCATCACTGTTTTCAACAGCATACTGGAAGTCCTAGCTAAATGCAAAAAGACAAGGAAATAAAACGCATACAGATTGGGAAGAAGGAATAAAACTATCTTTACTCACAGATGCCATGATTGTCTATTTAGGAAATCTAAGGGAATCTACAAAAAAACCCTTCAGCACTAATAAATTATAGCAAGACTGCAGGATACAAAGTTAATATGCAAAGTCAATTGCTTTCTTATATAATCGCAATGAACAAGAAATTGAAATGAAAAGCATGTTACCATTTACATTAGCACCCCATCAAAGGAATAGTTAGATATAAGTCTAACAAAATATGTACAAGATCTATACCAAGAAAACTATAAAACTAAGATGGAAGATATCAAAGAATTAAATGGAAAGATAGCTATTCCATGTTCATGAAAAGACTCAATATTGTCAAAATGTCAGTTTTTCACAACTTGATCTATAGATTCATCCCATTCCAGTCAAAATCCAGCAAGTTATTTTGTGGAAGTTGACAAACTGATTCTAAAGTTTATATAGAGAGGCGAAAGACCTGGAATAGCCAACTCAATATTGAAGGAGAACAGAGGACTGACATTACCCAACTTGAACACTCACCATAAAGCTACAGTATTGGTATTGGAGAGCATGGTATTGGTGAAAGAATGGACAAATAGATAAATGGAACAGAGCAGAGGGCCCACAAATACACCCATGTAAATATAGTCAACCGGTCTTTGACAAAAGAGCAAAGGCAATACAGACCTTCAACAAACAGGCATAGATAGTCCTTTCAACAGATGGTGCTAGAACAACTGGACATCCACATGCATAACACAAAATTTAGATCTCACACGCTTCACAAAAATTAACTCAAAGTGCATCATAGACTTAAGTGTTAAACACAAAACTGCAAAAGTCCTAGAACATAGGAAAAAATCTAGATACCCTTGAGTTTGGTGATGTTTTTTTTTTAATCCTTATCTGAGGAAATTTTTTCCATCACTTTTCAGAGAGAGTGGAAGGGGGAGGGGGGAGAGAGAGAGAAACATCGATGTGAGAGACACACATTGAATGGTTGCCCGCCCCCCCCCCCATCTGGGGCCGGGNGAGAGTGGAAGGGGGAGGGGGGAGAGAGAGAGAAACATCGATGTGAGAGAGACACATTGAATGGTTGCCCGCCCCCCCCCATCTGGGGCCGGTGATTGAGCCTGCCCTTGGCTGGAACAGAACCCAGGACCCTTCAGTCTGCGGACCAACACTCTAACCACTGAGCAAAACCGGCTAAGGCTGCTGATGACTTTTTAAAGTACACCACCAAACACACAATCCATGAAAGAAACAACTGATAAGCTGGACTTGTTTAAAATTTAAAATCTGCACTGTGAAACAGAATGAGAGTCCTGGCTGGTGTGGCTCAGTTGGTTGAGCATTGTCCTGTGCACCAAAGGGTTGCGGGTTCGATTCCTAGTCAGGGCACATACCCAGGTTTTGGGTTTGATCCCCAGTGGGGGGCATGCAGGAGGCAGCCAATCAATGACTCTCATCACTGATGTTTCTATCTCTTTCTCCCTCTCCCTTCCTCTCTCTGAAATCAATAAAACCATATTTAAAAATAAAATCAATAGAGTGATTATGATTTTTTTAAACAGAATGAGAAGACAGACTTATCAAATACATATTATTTGCAAGACATAATCTGACAAAGTACTCTTAAAATTCAACAATAAGAAAACAAGCAACCTAACGGAGCATTGGGGAGAAAAAGGGACATCTGTAATACTTTAAACAAAAACAAAAATTAAATTAAAAAAAGGAAAAAAAAAAAACAAGCAACCTGATTTAAAAATGAGCAAAAGACCTGAGATGGTACCTCACCAAAGATACACAGTTATAAAAAGTAACCATATGAGAAGATGTTCAACATCTTATGTCAGAGAAATGCAAAATAAAACGACAATGAAGCACCATTATGCACCTGTTAGAATGACTAAAATCCCAAACACTGACAACAAATGCTGAAGAGAATGTGGAGCAGCAACAGGAACTCTCATTCATTGCTGGTGCGAATGCAAACAGATACTTTAGAAAACAATTTGGTAGTTTCTTACAAAACTATACCATATGATCCAGCAGTCATGCTCCTTGGTATTTACCAAAAAGAATTGAAAGCTTATGTTGCATCAAAACCTGCACATGGATGTATATAGCAGCTTTCTACATAACTGGCAACACTTGGAAGGAGCCAAAATGTCCTTCAGTGAGTGAGTGAATTCATCCAGATAATGGAATATTATTCAGCAACAAAATGAAATGAGCTATCAAGCCATGAGAGACATGGAGGGACCTTAGATGTGTATTACTAAGTGAAAGAAGAGGATCTGAAAGGCTATCCAACTATAGTATGACTCCAACTATAGGACATCCTGGAAAAGGCAAAATTATGAAGATCAGTTGTTGCTAGGAGTTAGGTGAGAGGGCAGGATGAATAGAACACAAGATTTTTAGGGCAATGAAACTATTCTGTATACTACAATAGTGTATATATGTTACTATATATCTGTCAAACCCCACAGAATGTACACCAACAGTGAAACTACTGTAAACCATGAACTTTGAGTGATAATCATGTCAATGTAGGTCTATCCATTGTAAAACAATGCCCCACTCTGGTAAGTGGATGTTGATAGTGGGGTAGATTGTGGGTGTGTGTGGGAGAGTGGGTATATGAGAACTCTGTACTTTCTGCTCAATTTTGCTGTGAACCTAAAATTGCTCTAAAATTATTTATTTTTTATTTAAAAAAATAAATTTTAGCCCGTCTGGCATGGCTCAGCAGTTGAGGATCGACCTGTGATCCAGGAGATCAAGGTTCGATTCCCAGTCAGGGCACACGCCCAGGTTGTGGGCTCCATCCCTGGTGGGGGGCCTGCAGGAGGCAGCCAATCAGTGACTCTCTCATCATTGATGTTTCTCTCTCTCTCCCTCTCCCTTCCTCTCTCTGAAATCAATAAAGATATATTTAAAATATATATATACAACTTTTAAAAAATCAATTTTATTTCTATATATTGGAAAGGAACAATCAGAAATTAAAATTGAAAATATCATTTACATAGGATCAACAAGTATGATTTCCCCCTCCCACATGATTTTATCTGAGTTAGAGGTAGATTTACAAAAGATCAAACATAGCTGAGATATATTACGTATTTAACACCTCAATAAATGGTGGAGGTTTACTTTGTTCAAACGTCGTAATGACTCATTATTGACATGTAAAGTCTTCCCATATTGACTTATAGATGCTATTCAACCCCAACAAAAATCCCAGCTTTTTAACAGAAAATGACAAACTGGTTTTAAAATTCATACGGAAACACAAAACCGCTTTGAAAAAGAACAAAACTGGATGCAAAAACTATCTGATTTCGACTCATTCATTGTAAAGCTACAGTAATCAAAGACAACGTGGTAGTTTTGTAAAGATAGACAAGTAGATAGGGCCACAGAATAGGAAAGTCTTAAACCCACGCATACAAGGACAACTTATTTTTCACCTAAGTGCAAAGGCTTTTCAGTGGGAAAAGGATAATTCAAGAAATGGTGCTAGCTATCCACATGCCAAAAGAGTTACCTAAGATCGTATTTTCGCATGCACACAACCAGCTCAAAGTGGGTCCTCTGCGTACACATCAACCTTCGCTCTAAAGCTTCTAGAGGACACAGGAGCAAACCTTCGTGGCTTTGGGTCTGGTGGAGTTCTGAGCGCAAACGCAGTCCGGACGCTCCCTCCAAGGCCCGCACCCTCCCGCTCCACCCGCGGCCCGCGCGGTCTCAGCCC